CGCTTCCCCCCGTAACTCTTCCACCGACTACTCCGGCCCCGACAACTGCCGCCCCGACCACCCTTCCTCCCATTACGCTGCCCCCCGTGACCCTTCCGCCGATTACCCCGGCCCCTACGACCGCTGCCCCAACCCTCGCCCCTGTTACGCTCCCCCCTGTAACTCTTCCGCCAACCACCCCAGCCCCAACTACCGCTGCCCCGACCACCCCGGGCCCGACAACTGCTGCCCCGACCACCCTCCCCCCAGTTACTCTCCCCCCTGTAACTCTTCCGCCGACCACCCCGGCCCCTACAACTGGCGCCCCGACTACTCCCTCCCCAACAACTGCCGCCCCGACTACCCTTCCCCCCGTTACGCTTCCCCCTGTTACTCTCCCGCCGACCACCCCGGCCCCGACAACCGCAGCCCCGGTTACGCTGGCCCCCGTAACTCTTCCACCGATCACCCCTGCCCCGACCACTCAGGCTCCGATAACTCCTGCACCGACAACTGCCGCCCCGACTACCCTTCCCCCGGTTACGCTTCCCCCGGTAACTCTTCCACCGGTCACCCCGGGCCCTACGACCGCTGCCCCGACCACCCTGGCCCCAACAACTGCTGCCCCGACCACTCCTGCGCCTACTGGTGAGTTGCTTCAAAAATGATGAAAGCTGTGAACGTTTCGTGTCTCGTGGAAAAAGCCCCCCTCCGCTTCACAATTTGTTAGAAGTAGGATCAGAATCTTTCTGATAGTTGAGCTCGTTCAGATGCAAAGAGATGAAGCTGATCGCAGATCCGGTCGTTTCCTAAGAGTTCCGCTGATTTCCAAATCGCACACGATACAACTTCACTCTACGTTTTGGCAGCAGCTTCCGTTCGAGGTTATGGCACACGTTTCCGGCAAGGATTGCGGAGAAAGTGTGCAGAGACCGTAACAGATCGACATGCGAGCACAAAGGACGAAGTGTCTTATGGTCAAACGGCCGTTCAGATGCCATGATTTCCACGTCTAGCCTCCGTACGATTGACTCCTTGCTGAGAAACGGCCAACCGCTTTGCTTTCGACGCTTGATCAGTGCCTTTGACCGTAACAGTGTACTCAAAAGCAGACAATTGAGCGCCTTTTTTTTGTCTTCTGTCTAGTTGGCAACCCATCGCCGACCACCGCGGCCCCTGTAACTCCTTCTCCGACAACCGCGGCCCCGACCACTGTTGCCCCGGTCACCGCTGCGCCGGTTACTCCGTCTCCAACAACCCCGGCTCCAACTACTGCCCCGACTACTCAGTCTCCAACAACCCCGGCTCCAACCACTCAAGCCCCGGTCAATCCGGCCACTCCTGCACCGACTTCCCTTCCCCCTGTAACCGCTTCCCCGGTGACTCAGTCTCCAACCACTCCGGCCCCGACTACACTTTCCTCGGTAACCCCTTCCCCGACCACTTCAACTCCGACTACCCCAGCCCCGACCTCTCTTCCGGGGTCTCCGGCAACCGCTGCCCCGATTACGGCTTCTCCTGTAACCCTTTCCCCGACTACCCCAGGGCCAACCACCTCTTCCCCGGCGGTGAATCCGATCACCTCTGCGCCGACCACCCCAGCTCCGACAACTCCCCCAGGTAAGTCGAGGCGCTCTCAAGGAAAGCTTGTTTATGGGTTGAATTACAGGATCTTCTATCTATCCAGGTCCTGTGAAAGGTTTCGAGCTCTGGATTACGGTCGAGTCGAAGGTGCGGCAAAAAGGCTTCCGCCGCCGAGTCCGTCAGAAGCGTTCCGCTGACGTCAGCAGCGGATCTTGGCGAGCAGACACTTCGACGCAACATGATGCAAAGAGACTTGGACTAATCTCTCGCCCCACTGTCGTTTCATTCCAGTACGAAGAGATGATCTTTAGACTCGAGCTTATGAATGAGGACAGCAAAAATGTAATCATCCTAGTTTGTTCGCCAGAGCCGTCTGTTCACGGAGAATGTTCCTTCCGCTGCGAAAAGCGAGTCGGGCGGAAGGGGCAAACTTGGAAGTGCCCATTTACGCTTCCGCAAAATCTGAAGGCGGGAGCACATAACGAGGCAGATAATGAGCTAAAGGCTTGCGATTGGGCGATAGCTTGGGTACACAGAGGTTGAACTCTTTAGACCAACTTCAAAACTTAAGCCGCAAGAGGAGAACAAGATAAGGTGCAGACGGATTCCTGGCGTTGTCTTTCTTGCCGAGAATATATCGAGCAGTCAGCACAGAGAGTGCTCAATCTTGTCTCGATCTTATCAGCAACTCAGCCTGCCAGTTTATTAAAAGAATCGCTTTCATCTGCAGGCTCCAGCCCGGTTCCAACGACGCCTACCCTCAACGTCCCTCCCCCGACCTCCCCTGCCCCGACCATTCCCGGCGCTCCGGCCCCGACCACTTTTCCGCCGACGTGCAACTGTCCGGGCGCCATTGGCAACATTCCGGCGGAAGAGTACTGCAACATCATCGACTTCTCCACTCTCCGCGGGCCGACCGAGTGTCCGTTCAAGAACGACGGCTTCCAGCTGGACACGTGTTTCGTGACGCCGCAGGCGCCGCTGTTTTCAAGTGACGTGTACTGCTGCATCGACCAGCCGCCACGTGACCAGGCGTGCGGGGACGGGAGAGGCGCGTGCTGCGAGGACCACATCCGTGGAGGTGAGCGGAGTCGAACAATCTTCGAAGTTGTAATTTTCAAATGTAGATGTTTTCTCTTTTTCTTTTTGAGCAAATGCAAACCGACGTGTCTGTGCATCACATCCGTGGAGGTGAGCGGAATCCAGAACCTTAAGACCCTTTGATACCAATGATCAGGTTTTAGGGGTTTGTCTCCTTTCCCTCATCGAGCACTTTCAAAACGACGTCATGTTCGTCCATCATCTGCAGAGGAGGGCCAAAAATGCGGAGGCTTTTCTAAACATAAGAGGGTGCTTCCTATAGTTGATGTACGCTCACAAAAATATGCTCGTAAAATTCCACCGTCGAGTATATAAGCTTCCGGGACTTGGTCCGCGGTTAATCGCCCAGAAGGAGCTTCCGGATCTTCTGCCGCTCAGTGCACGGTCTACCGGGATTGCGTTCTTGCAAGCTACAGCTTATTGCGTGAACACCCTCCAGCATTCGTTGTGACCTGGCCTGCTTTCGCAACTGGTCGCATGTGCGGAAATGATCTC